ACATAACTTAAATCTATTGTCTTTCAGCTTAAAGCCATTCCCCCCTTTTGTGTTTATCTCAAAGCAATCAAAGCTTTTATTTCAGATCTTCTTGTATATTTAAGCACACACGGGTTGTCTACTATGGCAGTGGTCTAAGTATTTAAGCTTCTCATACACTCTTTGAAAAATTGAATAGAATGTTTAAAATAAAGTATCAGACATTCCAAGTCCTCAAGTTTATATTTCAAATGAATACTGCATAGATTTTTCTCTACCCCCTCATTATAGAAGATGCATGTTATTTTAAAGGCTTGTCCCATGTCCTTATAGCACCTTCCAGTACCCAAAGGCAGCGTACAAGACAGCTAGAGAGGGACCTTCTACAGGGACAAGACAAGAGGGAATGGCTTTAAGCTGAAAGACAATAGATTTAAGTTATGTAGTAAGAAGAAATTCCCTACTGGCAGAACAGGTTGCCCAGAGAAGTTTTGGTTGTCTTGTCCCTGCAATCACTCAAGGTCAGGCTGGATGAGGCTCTGAGCAAGGAGGTTAAAGTTGTCTCTGCCTATGGGAAGAAGATGGAACTAGATGATCTCTAGTATCCCTTCCAACCCAAACCATCCTACAATTCTATGATTCTGTGAAATGAAATCCTAATTAACTCCTGATGGATATAATGCCCTGCCAGGTTATCTCTAAGCAATGAGATAATTCGATTGTTGCAGTATTTTAGGTGTGTCCTACTAGTAGTAAATTTAGATGCTACAACTCATTATATTATTTGTTCCATGTTAATGTAGCCTGTACTTTTATTCCTGCTAAATATTACTCATTTAGGTGTTAAGATCCAAATGAGGATCTTACATGTCCCAATTAACTATTTGTTGCCATCATTTCAGTAATATTTCATTCTTTCAGTATTTCAATTTTTATTGAGCATTACTCATGTGAGTCAAGGAATTATGGATAGGTCTTCCTGAAAAACAGAAACCTTTTTATTCTAGGTCACCTAAAACTAACAATGTAGTTGCAGGCTGGGTACACCTTTTTTTCTGGTTTTGAAAGATTATGGTGACTATGTAGAGATAATAAAAAGTTTGGGCATTTGTGTTTTTTAATTAATTCAGGGAATATTCTGCAGTAATGTGTATGTTCAGATGCTACTAGTGAATGCCAGTTTAAGTATCAACATAAAGAGATTCTTTTGCTTTGTCTCCTCTTAACAGCAACAAGAAAGAGTCAAAGACAATTGTATTTTCTTGACTGTTGTATACCAGTTTCACAGACCCACAGAATTATGTTTAAGTGAGCTGCCAAACCTTGTTTGGTGCCAGCCTGAGCACCCCCAGTTTATCACCAGCTGACCTGCTGCTGCAATTCTGATACCCACTTTCTTGCTCTACACTCATATTTCCTTATGAATAAGATTCTGCAGTCATTTCAACATGTCATTCAACATTTCAACCCCCTCTTTTCCAGGGGTTAACATATGACTGGAAAAGTCTGTAGCCTACCAAGCTACAGCTAATATTCACCTGAGTGTCTACCTGTGCTTATAATCTCCACAAGGCATTGGAATCAGTACATTTTATGGGTATCTGTATCTAAACTTACTGCATTCACTGTAGCCTGAGACTATCCCAGTTGGTTTCCAGCAGAATTCATGCCAGTGGGCACAGTCTGGATCTGATTTGGAGGACGGTGATGGAAATAGGGATCGTTAAAAACACCCCATTATCATACGGTCTGGTAGTTGGCTACAGTGCAGCTCTACAAACATGATTTAGTACAGATGTTTCATTTAAAATCTAGGTTTATAAAGGTACACATTTTTTTGGTTTACTCTGATTATAACCACAGTCTACTCCTCCCCAGTAATCAACTGCTAGAATTTGTCAAATGTTGTCATTTAATATGTGGGTCACTTCCAGTGCTGTGTTTGTTGCATGGAATGCTCCACTTCCATAGAAACAGATGTTTTAACTTAACAGCAAAAAGAGCTAAACAAGTGCATGTGAAGGCGCATTGCAAATAATGTGTTTCATTTCTGTTATTTATAGCTGTCCACAGCTATCATAATTTTTTTATTTGAAAATTATTAAATCAATTACAAGAAGTTTATTTGCAGATACTGCCAAGAATGATGCATGCTAGGCAACTGCTTCTGGGAAAAGTGTCTTCTTCTGGGCCATTGCAGAGGCATTTCAAAAAAGTCAATGCATTTCTGAAAGACTGCAGTATAACAGGGTCTCCACACAAAGTATACAAAGTATACAAAGAAAAAAACAATACCCTTTCTAGATCTCCCAGCCATTCTGGCAGATGATGTCAGCTGTCAGGGCAGTGGAGCTAATACATGCTTAACTCCTCAGCATGTCTGAAGAGGATGTCTTGCCCTCTTTAGTACAGCTGAGATGGTGTTTAGAAGGAAGAGTCAGGGGAGGGGGATCTCTCTGCAAAATGGCTGATATGAGAAGATGGCTTTCTTCCTTCTTTCAGTTTTATTTGACTGAAATACATCCTGCATAAACTAGGAACCACAGTTGTATGAAAAACTACTAATATTATCTAAAACAAAAGGGGGAAATATTTTTTGAAACACAGAACAATATACATATGCCACAATGAAGTAACAAGTCAGCCATCTGTGAAATTCTTTTCTCCTTTACATCCTACCTGACTAGTTTCAGGTCACTGTAGGAGCCACTGATTTTTATAACAAAAGTAATGTTTGAAAGCAAGCCATGCTGCATAGTTTCCAAAGCACAAAGATGGAATAATTTGTAACAGTGCTGTAACATTCCACATGCAGGGGCAGATCGCATAAACAGAGAGCTCTGTGCACCCAAGGTAAGGGCTTATAGCTGATACTCTAACATCATTTCCCAAACAAACCTAATGGACTTCTACACCTGAGCCATGGGCAAGCCTGAAAGTGCAGCCCAGGTTATTTCAAAAGTTCACTGTGTTCATTTTCATGCCCACCCAAATGCCCTGGACATGTAATCCACCTCCTATGCTGGGTTCTCAGTGCAGTAGTCAGAGCCAGGCCAGATGAGAGAAATATCTATGTTTGGAAAGCCTCAGCAAATGTGGGACACAAAAGCAGTAAACAAATCAATGGAGTGCCAGACCAAATGTGTTTCACATTTGTGAAAATAACAAAGTTGAGTCAGGAAGAAAGGTTTATGTGTCTTCTCCTCATACAATCCTTCCCAAGGTACTTTCTTTCAATCCCCCCAAAATTAAATCCAGCCCAGACAGCAGCAATATTTGTGAGTACACAGCATCAACCAAATGCATTGCAAAGCCACTGACAGCTCCATGTGGCTTGGCATGAAGCAGGGCTCAGAGGGGTGAGCAGGTGTTTCCTCCCACTCTTCCTCCACACCCAGGCACAAGGATGTGCTGCCAACCACAGCACTGCTGGAAGGAACAATCTGTGCCTCACCTGCTGCTTGCAGTGCGCCCAAGCTGAGGAGCAGGGCTGGAAACTTCTTCCCACACAGCTCTCAAATCTCTGCTCTTGCCAAGAATTCCTGCAAGGGAGAATCGCTGGGTCATTTCTGGAGCCACGAGAAAGACCCTGTGACACCTGCCTCTGTTTGTGCCAGGGATGGAAAGCCTTTTTGAGGGACTTGTGAACTCACAGGAATCAGCTCACCTCTCCTGAACAGGTTAGACAGAATCTGGTAGCTCCACAGTTGGTGACTGGTGGCCATGCTGCAGAAATGGGAAGCAGGCACAGAGGCAGTGTAGGACAGAACTGTTGTTCAAGATCAAATTTGTATTAAACATTAAATGTAAAAAATTAAATTACTGAAAGCTTTATTCAAAGTTCTATTTTGTCCGTTAAAATCATGAGATGCCAAAAAAATTACTCAGGGCTAATAATTAAAACGGTGCTTTGCTACATCCATAAGAGAAAAGGGAATTTTTGAAAGCTGGGTAATTTGGAAGGTTTTTACAGCTCTTTTCAGTTTATTCAAACTCAGTATTTAATGTTCAAATGTGGAGAGTGAGTACAGTCCAACCCAACCCTACAATAAAGAAAAATAATGTCAGCTGATGGCTTTAAAACCTATACTTTAGACAAAAATAAGTAAGTCAGCATTACTGGCAGCAGATCTATTTGAAGGTATCTTTAATTAGTGTATTTTATTTTAAGGCTTATGGGTATTGTATTTATTCAATTAACTCAGCCTTTTTCCCTGACAGTAATTTTCTACAGAGAAAGTGCTATAAAATTCTTCTGAATTAATTTTTGTCTTAGGAGTAATAAGTAAATTTATGGTACAATTTACATGAATGAGGCTAGTAATTTAATTCCTTTAAATTTAGAATTTCATTGTCCCCCTGAACTACATATTACTTTTAATCTTTGCTGCATGACATAATTTTTATGAAGTGAGTGGAAGGGCCTTACTAATTTACTGGGACTTTCATCCATTTAGAAACCTGGAAAATGTATTACACTAGCACTGGATAAGCAGATTAAAGGAATACTAGGGCATTACATATTATTCTTGCTTTCTTAACTAAGAAAACCCCTTTATTTTCCTATCTGTCTATCTATCTATCTATCTATCTATCTATCTATCTATCTATCTAATCTTCATATTTAATATATATTCTCCTCTTGAACGAGTAAACCAAAAACCATATTGCAATGAAACTCAACTGATTTGGTAGACCTCAAAATATCCTTTTATGCCTCAGCTCTGCATAGTTTTGCCTGCATATTATAGTCACATATATCTTTCTTCCCTGATATGGTTATTTGCTACAAAATCAATGTCTGGAAAAAGGATTTGAGGATCCAACTTGAAATATCAGTAAGACAAAAGTCTTACTCTGTGATGTTATGTGTGGCCTCTAACTGCTTTTCTTTCTCTCACACCTATTTTCTGTTCCTTTCTAACTAATTCTCTGGACAAGCCTAAAAAATAAGGAAAAAGTCATAACAAAGTTACAGATTGCTTTCTGTACCTGGCACCATAGCCATGTGTCTTCTACCAAGTATTTCCATGTTCTTCAACTCCCTTATTTTCTGCAAAAATTAATGGAATAAAATATTGTCCTGGAGAAATCCTGGCCTGTTTGGGAACTTTTCTGACATTTGGGGGCTCAAGAGAACATCTTGCCATCTTGTCTTCTCCATGGTATTCCTTTCACTCCTCTGATGTGTGTGCCAATGGGTATCTACAAAAAGTAAAAAACAGAAATGCAGGATGAACAGTAAATTCACGTGGAATCCCAGATATCTTCAAATTCTTTAGTTTTATTATCTTTTTCAGGTATTTTAGCTTTCCCAAGTAAAATCTTGTGTTCTGGGGAAACACATTTCTCCCAGCAGCACAGCCCCTTTAAATGATTCTCATAAACCCCAAATCGTCGCTCAGCAGACAGTAATGTCAAATTTGGTAATGGTGCAGTTCCTTTGATGGGAAGATCAAGACATTAATTCACAAGAGACAGAAGCAAGTTAACCTTTTCTAAAGCACCTAACAAGACTGAGGAAAAAGCACTTTTTTTTCCAACCTCTATTTAGAATTTCAAAAATTAAACTGTCTATTAACACTCACACAAAAGTAAATGCTGTTTTGCTGACACCAGCATATCTGGGAAAACCCCATTGGTCAAAAATCCACAAAACCTTTTTGGATGGACCACTACCAAATTTGACATTACTGTCTGTTGAGTGACAATTTGGGGTTTAGGAGAATCATTTAAAGGGGCTGTGGTGCTGGGAGAAATGTGTCTCCCCAGAACACAGAATTTTACAAACTGGTTGCTTTCATGCTAGAAATCTGTCATTTAGAAGGTCTCAGTATAGGATTTGTTGATGTTTTATTTGGTATTTTATTTTGCATTATTTTATTAAGCATTATTAAAAGCAGAAGAGCTACTTTACATTTTCAGAATATTTAAAGATATCATCAAGTTCACAACATTTTCACTGGAACATTTTTTACTTGTTTCTTAAGCCAAAAGACCTTGTGTTTGATAATGAAACAGCTGGACACATGTATATTTGCATAATGCATATTATAATTACTATATGTGGATAAAGCAAGAGTAAAAATTTTAGAAAAATTAAAATGAATATAATCCAGTACAAGAAATATGTTCATAATTTACATTAAATTTTACAATACCTTCAATATCCCTTTTATCACAATGAAATTTAAAGTGTTTTGGCATAATCCAAAGCAACATTTTAATAAAAAAATATTTTTCTGAAAAATTTCTACTTGCTTGCATGGGTAGTACCATGAAATAAGCTTAGCTATTAGTCCCAGAGTTAGGAGACAGAAACAACTACTTCTCCTCTATTATTTGTCTGAAAACATGAATTATTGTAGATTGACATTATCCACTTTTACTTCCTGCAAAATTGTAAAAAATTATAAAATACATAAAAATAAAAAGTATTGTAGCATAAAACTGAAGGAGATATTTCAACTTCATACAACTTTTTCCTAAGTGATAAAATCTAGACTTTCTGGGGCTTGTGAGAAATACAGAAACACAGACGATTTTTTTTTTAAATATTTTTTTTCTTCGGGAAAATCTTTTAACCTGTTTAGAGTACAATGACAGCTCAAAATTCCATTCTGAGATTCCAAAATGCTGGAAAATTTCACACTGATGGAAAATTAAAGCTCTTTCATTTGATGAAAATTTGGATTCCACTCCAATGAGCTACAGAGACCTCAGTGCCTTTTACTCATCTCCATGTGTCTTCTTACAGAGGTGTGATGAAACATTGATTGTTTTTTCTGAATTTTAGCTTAGTATGCAAGTGTTCAGGTACTAGTCTGATCCTTTTTTCTTTTCCATAGCTGCAGAGAAACATTTTGTCTTTTTAAGGAGTGATGCCTTAAATTTTAACTTTTATATTTTTCAGATTCTGTGCTATCTAGGTGTGTAGTTCTGAGCTTCTCACAGAGTAGGTAGACAAAACAATTCTTTTTCTAGTTTCGTACCAAGGACAGTCATTACAAGTTTCAGTTCCAAAAGCACAAACAGCAGTGGACTGAAGAGAGGAAACAAGGATGGGACTTCATGACCTGAAGCTGTCATTGGGCAGTTAACCCTGATACACAGGTGGACCAAAACATATAAAAATATGAGACCTCATGACAATTCTGTGACTATTTTGGATCCATCTTGGGTGTAGCCCTGGCCTGGTTCTTGTACTGCCCAAGGTGTATCCTTTAAGGGTTTTAATAAATACCTACTTTATTCTTAACTCTGTCCAGCCTCTGTTCTAGGTCAGCCTTCTCAAGGCATCAGGAGTGGACTAAATGCTTCTCTCACCCTGCTTTTTGATCTGACCACTTGTGATTGCAATCTCTCAGTCTCACACTAAGCCTTCCAGCACAGCACATCCCAGGAGCCAGAATGTTCTCCTGGCTGGACTTGCAGCTGCAGGATGTGAAGCGCTTCAAACTGGTGTTGAGTCAATGCCACCTTGTGACACATCAGCAGTAAGAGGTATGAACTTCTCTGGAGTTACACTGTGGGCAATACTTGGAAGGACATCCAGAGCTCCTCTTTACAGGCAGCTCTCCCCATTTCAGTGAGTCCATGCTCCACACAAGCTCTGCTCAGGATTTTCCATGTAAAGTACCTTATCCAAGCAAAATGCATTGTCACAGTCCTCCACCAACAAAATCAGAACAGCTGAATTGCTGTGGGTTTTGTTCATACTCATCTCCTCTAGGGTAAATTCGTTCTTCCACATCCTTCTCATGATCCTGACAAGAGGACTGGGCTGCCCAGAAACAGCAGGAATTGTCTGGACTGCAGTCAGTTGCCAACTACAAAACTCCTTTGTGCACCTGGAGTTAAACTGGGAATGAAGCCACATCCAGGAACGTGTATATTTTCCCACCTGTTTTATCTCCAGTGCAGTTGTATCAACTAGCTTCTGTTTCCTATTTGAAATCAGTTTCCTGAACACACAGTTCCTGTCCTATATATCTCCTGGCATACGCATATGCTTAGGTTTCTCCTAAATTCAGTAAGCTTTTGATAAATTCAAATTAAGCATGAGTCAGAAGTTCTTCATGCTCACCATAGAGCTGACTTCTACTCTGAATTTTCCCAGGTTAAAAACCCAACTGGTTTATTCTTGCAGATTCACAGGACATCTCCCAGAACTGAGCATTTGGAGGGTGAGGAGACAGCAGTATCTCAGCTCACCTGTCAATAGTACCGTGGAAAGAGAGACAGGAAAATGGCTCCTGCTGCGAAAACAGAAATGCTGCAATCTCACTTCGCCTGTTATGGAAACATGACCACTGTCTTTTCTATCTTTGAAAAACAAAAAGACAAATAAAAAATATTATTATTTGTTCTGACAATTACAGTGATCTTTAAACCTGAAATTTGGCCTCTTAATGATTTCTGGCCTCACAGTTTCCTTTAAAATTCCTATGAAAAAAAAAGCTTTCTGCATGTGCATTTGGAGCAACTGCAAGTATTCCACTGTGCAGCTACAGATAAACCAAATTTCCAACAAGCTGGTTCCAACATCTGCCTCCTGTCTCAACCTGGTTTGAGGCAGTCAGTCCATTGGCTGGTGGCCCCTGTGCAGATCACAGGTTTTGCTTGCATTGACAGTTCATTGCATGCAATATCCAGATAAAGTCCCTGGCAGGTTCAGAACCTTTGGAGAAGTCAGCCAGGAAAGTCATCTTTGTGCCAGCAAGGCACTGCCTGCCCTGGGCTGCAGTTAATGGCCTTTTGTTAAATTCAGTAGCTGTCTCAAGAGTTCAGAAGAGAAATATGAGGCTGTGATTTAATGAAGTAATTTGATTACATAGAAATCAATCCTCTGCTAGGATTTGATAACTTCAATAAAAATGCCTACCAAATTTGACGCAACTTGTACTTAGATCCTTCTATAAGCTTTTGCTTAAGCACTTTGTTAAATGAAGATTTAAGGAGAGGAAGGCTTTGTGCTCTCATTGGGATAACACTCTGAAATGCTTTAAATTAGGTTTTCAGCCTATTACATATTTTCTATCGTTTCCTAAATCACAACAATAATCTGCAGAAAAAGAGAAACTGGAAATTTCTCAACCTGAAAAGTGTTTCAAAACTGGAATTTTCTTGAACATGATTTTAAAGTTGCATATTGCAACTAAATTAGGTTTAGGTATTTTAGGCTGTAAGGAGTCAAACTTACCAGTGTGCTTAGCACACTCCTCCTGGAATGCTTGTAGTCTCCAAATTCTTTATTGCTGCTTAACCATATCTGGTGGGGAAACACACATCTGTGTGGGGAAAACACACAGATTTTAAGTTCTACCACTTCTTTAAGATGTCAAAGTTTTTGGTAGGGAAGAAGGTTATTTTAAGAATGGGAGATAATATAAAAGCTCAATTTCCTTTCATTAGACTTGTTTTTCTCTCTCTCTCATGTTTCTAGCCCTGCATCTAAACCTCCACATCTTGGAATAAATTTTTACAAGACACAATACTTGGCTTTTTCTTGTGGATGTGGAGAGTCAGCCCAAGAGCTGGGATTTAATGATGCACACAGATTTAATGCAGAGATGGATACATTTCACCAGAAATAAAAGGCAGAAGCAAATCTGGTTATCTGTGTATTCCTTTGTACACCATTGGCTTGTCTTAGTTCAGTAGATGGGAACACACATATTTACATTAACACCTATAGATAGCATTGGGTAAAAAAACTTGTAGAATATGTTGAGTGTGTAACATTCTCTAATTTTTTTTTTTCATTCAAGGTGAGAAAGCCTTCTTCTATAATGCACTGCTGGTGGAAAGGTGTGTTCTGGGTGAGACATGTTTCTGAGCAAGCTCCCATATTCCAACAGCATTTTTTTGGGGTCTAAGCACAAAAGATTAATTTCCTTGGAGAGTCACAGGTAGTTACACTTGGGCCCAGCCTCCTGAGGTGCAGTTCAGGTGCTCCCCCTCAGTTTTGCCAGAAAGAAGGGTCTTTGCATGCAAAGACTGAGCACCATGAGATGCTGAAGCACAGCAGCTCAAACTCAATGGAGTGCAGCTTGCAGCAGAGCTGCTGGAGAGCTGATCACACCTTCTTTTAAGCATGGTGCATAATAATGTTGTTTTCGTGAAATGATGAACTATTAAATCTGTATGACACATAGATGAGAGAAGAAGTGTTCACAGGCCCACTGTAATTTATGAACATGTGGTGCACAGATGTTACATGAGATTTTCCTTCCCTTTACTTTAGAAAATTTGGATTACATTTTCTCTCCTCTCTAGTGTTCAAACTCTGTGTTTGATACTTTATTAGATATCTCAGTAGGGAAAATAGATGATTAATAATTGCTGATGACAGATATTTGGTTTCTATAAGCTGTGGAGTGAAAGATAAATATGATGGGAATAGTTGTACCTATGTATGACAACTAAGCCCCTTTAAGACCCTGTTAGTGTTACCTATGATTTATGGGGATGTCACCACTGACACTAGATAGGGAAAAACTCAAATTTCTCTTATTGTAATCATCACTTTTTCTTCAGATATTGGGGGGCTGGGGGGGGTGGGAAACACCTTCAAAGAAAAATGACAAAGAAAGAAATAAAAACTTAATTTTTTCAGGGTTGGGAGTTATTTCGAAGAACACCCAGTTCCTGATAGTAGTACAATTAAAGCTTTCTTCAGAGCAATACATGTTCTGTGCTGCCATCTCTCAATTAAGCCTTGAGAACAAACCATCAAAACAAAACAAGACCATAATGTGTGTGTGCTGCCATACAGAGCTGCAATAAAGGCTCACCTCTGACTCTAGTCCCCACTTCACTGATAAGAAGAAAAATCAAAAAGACAGTTCTGAATCCCTCCGGAGCTGAGATGAACCATGCTGTGCTAATCTGGATCCTAGAGAGTCATATACAGAGGTAAGGTTTTGCTTCAAGACCATTTCTTTTGTAATGAGAAGCGTCTGGCCACAGCAACTTAAATTCAATTTCCACTGTTTTAAATTCAAGGAAAAGATGGTAATGGATTAGGTAGGTGGATTGACAGGAATAACTCAAAGCAGTTGGCAAACTGAAAGCCTTACTTCGTTTCAATGTCTATCATATACAAAATCTTCATTTACAGAAATACATCACTTCTGTTTCTTTGGGTCTTATTTGTTGGAGAAACAAATAACAACAACAACAACAACAACAAAGCCTCAAAAATTTTATTAGGAGCTCTAATTTCTTTAGAAAAAACCCACATATATTATGCCAATGCAGTAATAATTTGTTTCTGATATAAACTCCCAATAATTGCAGAACTCTGAACAGAACTGGAAATTCTATAGGCAAAAGGCATCTATGTTCCAGACAGGAACATAGATGAAGGAGAAGAAACGTTTGAAACGCAACCAAGTGAAGGCAGCTTTTTCAGTTTAAAAAAGGAAATTTGCCTTACAAGTATATACCTATAATAAGTATATATGTATGTATGTATGTATATATATATATATATATATATATATATATAAAATATGTATACATGTGCTAAAAAATCCAACCTACTACTCATTATTATATAATAAAAGTAATTTTTTATACATAATCAACTACTTATGAAATTTTCCTCATTTAAAACTTCTACTCCACCACCCCCACCCCTGGCCCCAAACCCAGCTTCCTGGAAATTTAATTCCTCCTGAAGTTAAATAGTTTAAAGACTGCTACAAATTTCTCTGACTCTTAGTGTTACTGCAGAATGATGGAAACTCTGCTTTTCTGCACCTTTCTTCTCAGCTCCATTAAGTTTTTGTGAGTTAAATTTGCATGTAGGAAGAGAATGACTCCTTCCTACATCTGGTAATTAGTCTGGGAAATGTATTGCTATAAGACATAATCTGATTAAGGACCACAGTTGAACTCTATTCCTCCTAATTAATCATTATTCATGTTGATAAATGCTCCTCTGAATTTTGGCCTGATAAAGTGTTTTTAAAAAAAGTTAAAAAGTCTGCTTTCTGTTACTGGAGAAAATAGCAATCATGTTAAGGTTTGGCCCCTCTGCTGTTGCTTTGAGTCCCAAGCCCACCTAAACCTGGAAACCTAAGGCAAGACTGCCAGGAAGCAAATTTAATTTGAAGGGATAGAGAGGGACTGTGTGCTGTGAGAGACTCAAATACTCTGCACAGACATATTGGTCTCCTCCTTCACTAAGACTTCAGAAAAAATATCAGATTTTTAGTCTCCTATCTGCCACTTTGATCTGAGCTGTTGGCAAAGTACTCCTCCAGAACAATATAAATTAACTAAATCAATAGAAAACTATCCTTAGTTGTAATTGGGTTTGGAGTAACTTATCTTAAACATTACTAAATTAGCTTTGATTTTGATCACCACTTAATTGTGGACAAAAGGAGTGGAAAACTTAGAAATAGGGAGTATGTGCCAAATGTTCCTCTGGCCCACCAGGGCTGGTTTCATTACAAAACCCCACTCCATCACGCTGAAGCAAACAGCTCTCAATTGCTGAAGCAAAGGAGCCTGAGGTGCAGCTAAACTCACAAGGCAGCTTTGTGGCTGGCAGGAGGCACCGTGGGGACACCCAAAATTGCTGGATCTCAGTAGAAACTCTGAGAGAAACAAGCAGAAAAATATTTTAGGCTAAAACTGGGATATAAAGCTCTTTTGACCAGTGCTCACTTGCTGCTGAGGACTGGGAGAAGCCCTAATGACCTGACAGGGTGTTGCCCTTCTGCTGCAGAGGTTGCCCAGAGGGTCCCTCCAATTGGCTGCAGCAGCTCCTCTGCAGCCTTTCTTGATGATGGCAAAGTCCTTCACATCAAGGATATGTGACAGTCATTGTTATTATATCAGTTTTGAACCACTGTCTCCAGAGCTGAGATGGTCCTTTGTTCCAGCCATGCAGACTCTGCTGCTAGCAGACTGTATTTTTTCTCTGCCCTCCACTTGGCACAAAGAAGGAGAGACACAGAATTACCAAGAGGGGTAGAATAAGCTCCACTTGGAAAGAAAAAAGAAAAAATAATTATTTTGTACAGGTGGGAACAAGTATGTTTTAATTCAGAAGTGTTTCCCTCTGGAGCAAAACTGTCACTTGACAGCTTGAAGGAGGATGTGCCTCTGTATGTTTTCAGGCCAAAGCAGAGGAGTGACCCAACCCTACAGTCCTCCATCTGTTTCCTAGTGCTGGATAATGCGTGTCAGGTTCAACAGCAGGGACAAAGGGATGAGACCTTTCGAGTTTCTCCGCCTTTGAAAAAATGCTCAAACTGGCATGTTCTCAAGCATACAGAATAATAGCCCCCTACTGTCTGAGGTTACTGAGATATTAACTTATTTTAGGATTATCAGGAGTTTTCAAACCAGTGAAAAACTGGATAGATAGCTGCCCTTGTTATTTTGATGGTTCTTAAATTTTCATGCCATCCACAAGGCATTTATCTTGACTTCTGTAAAGCCTTTGATACAGACCCCCTCGACATTCTTCTCTCTAAATTGGAGAGAGATGGATTTGATGAGTGAACTCTTAGATGAATAAGTTGTTGGACAGTCATATCAGGAGGGCAGAGGGCAATGTGTTGGAGTCCCAATGGACTCAATGACAAATGGTGTCCTTCAGGGTTCACTATTAGAACTAGTGTTATTAAGTATCATCGTTAATGACATAAAGGATTGAGTGCACCCTCACCAAATTTGCAGAAGACACCAAGCTGAGTGGTGTAGGTGACACACTTGAAGGATGGGATCCATCCAGAGGGACCTGGATAAGTTCGAGAAGTGGCCCATGAGAATCTCATGAGGTTTAACAAGACCAGATGCTGGTGCTTCACCTGGGTTGGGGCAACACCTGGTGTCAACCCAGGGTGAGGGATGAACAAACAGAGAGCAGCT